AGGGAAATGCTTCTTTCATCGTGGCCCGAGGAGCGTGTACCCGGTGGAATCCTCCTATTATTTGTATATGTGAATGCGTCTGCTAAGCGTATAAATCCTGGTGTTAATTGCCAAAAATAAACCAGAAGGTCACTCTCGGTCCATTAGCATAGAGCCACTAGCGAATCCCTTCCCATTCAAATTTGAGCCTAAGCCTTATCTTCACTCGATCGTATGTAACTCCAATGAAATGATGACGTATACAGATATGTTGTGGTTTGAGAATGAAAAAAAGTACGTTTTAATCTTTATTTATTAGTAATCAACTAATTTCTGTGCACCTTGGTTGTCATTTAAAAATATCGTATTAGACGCATCGTGGAGGTGTAAGACAATGAGTGGTGGTAAGGCCTCGGCTGTAAGAGCCTAATCTCCCCCCGAAATGCGAGTGAAATGTTCCCCCAACTAATGAATTCTTCAAAGTTCAGCGACTGACGCATCGCGATTTCCGCACGGCGGTCGGGTAAAACTTGAAACAACTTGAAACTTGCTATCGCTATGTACTCATGATTTTTGTTTTCCTAAGAGATTTTCCCAGAATCCCTCACCCGTTAGATAGCAGTCGGACTTGATGCGTCAGAGTACGAAATTCGATAGAGCCAGAAAGAGAAGTTCCAAAAAGTAAAGTTTCACCAGGGTATGCGATCTTTAAATCAAGGTTCGAGAAAGGAAAACTGAGCTCTGCAGATTGCCGGAAGCACTCTCACGGTTGGAATTCTCGAAGGCTTCCAGATTTTCATTTGCTTTGTGCTTGAAAAAATCCTTTAGATTGCCATCGGAAAGCCTCTTATTATGTCAAAACACTATTGCCGAGGAAACTCTATCAGCTTTCGTGGATGTGAAGGGACTGACCGCACTCCAACGCGGATTTTCCAACGCTACACACACGTTCCAAAGGTACCTGGACAACCTCCTTCGAGATTATAATTTTGCTGCCTCCTATATTGATGTCATCATCATCTACTCTAGGACTCCCGAGCAGCATCATTTCCATGCGGAAGGCAACCTAACAATCGCCTGACAATCAACCCCATCCAATGTAAATTCGCCCGAGAGAACATCAGAATTTTAACCTACCAAACTTACAAACCATTGAAGACCTTCGGCAATGTATTGGCCTGGTGAATTATTATCGCCGCTGCGTCCCCCGGGCCATAACCATTCAGCCCATTTTGAACGAGCACACCAAGCAAGACAAGAAGATAAACAAGCGTAAAGCAAAATTATTCTATTCTGGGCAAATTCTTTTAATTCGCGGGAGGGCCTGAAACTGAAGGAAATAGGTTCAAAATTGACACCGGATGGTTTACAATGGAAGAAAATCAAAATCCCATAACGAAAAATACACTCCTGGACTTTTATTAATAATTTAGAGAGCGGAGTAAGGGTAGTCGGCTTGCAGTACACGTGATACAAAATACAACGGGATGATTTAAAAATACTACAAAAGGGCAGAATTTAGGGGTTAACTTTTGTGGAAGACGAAATAAAATACCGGAAAGAAAGGAATTACTTGGTAGTAAAGAAACTGGAAAATAATTATCGAATAATATGGCTCACCGTTGAGGCGGTTTCATACTAGAGGGAATACTCACTGGTACAGATAAAGGAAATTTAAGGTACTCACTCCACTGAGCAGTTCGGGGCTGTTGTCTGTCTTCTCTCGCTGAGGAATGGAAAACGGGAAATTTATATGGCTTTCCACAGCTTGTGACGTTACAGGAAAACGGTGGATAGGATTGTGCGTCAAGTAGAAACGTAAAGGCAATAATTCTTGACATAATTTTACAAAAAAATTTAGTGAAAAGTGAATAGTTGACTTCTATGTTCTACCTCCAAATAATAGAATTTTCTCAATCGATTGCACACAGCAATATAAACAACATGGTCCTGCATTTCTATAGTGCATTCAAGATCATGTATGGGTCCGACATCATGTAGGACAAAATGTTTGTGTCCTCTCTGTCCTATTCAGGATTGTCTGCACACCGATGGTCAGTTATAAAATATGCGACAGAAACACAGTGGAAGACTTGTACATCGATTGAATGTTTATTTAACTGTTTATGTTTTTGAAACTATTGAAACTATTCGACAAATGACTAACTCATATAATTGAAACTACGACATCTTTCCATAGTGAACGTTAGACTGAAATGTTTTTCAAAACTACTAGTAAATAACTCTTGTAGCAGTTCTTTCATGGCATGATCAATTTCACCACTTCATACAAATTGTTGGAAGAAAGGTCTCCAACGGACCTTTTCACTACGGAAATAAATTCCGCTAAGAACTCTGTCATCATTTCGTTCCGAAGTAATTCGTTCTAAAACCAATTAGAGCTGTAACAAAATAAATCAATATATTCTCAAGTTGACTTCTAAATTCATACTGATATTCTAGTAATAGTATAATAGCGCACTTCATTTAATTTTCAATTTTTCTGAATTATTATTCATTATAATAACCAGCAAAAACAAAGGAAAGAAAAATTTAGAGCGGTCCAGACCGACTTTTGGTAGGGTTCATACCAATCGTGTCCCCGTCGCATCATGCTAAGTTCTGATGAGGCTTGAACCTTTTTGAAAAAGTGCCTCACTGCGCCTTAAATTTTTATTAATACCACATAATATTGCATAGTTAATTATAAATTAACAGCTTTTTGAAGGAAAAGCGCATTGGGAGATGGCTGTATGCCCACATGAGAATCCACCAAGATAAGCGAGATGATTCAAAGTGGTTAAATTCATTAATAGTTGCTCAGTTCGGACACTAAGAATGTTTATTTACTGTAGGATATACGTCAAATTTGACAAATTATAGAACGGAATAAGTTGGAAATAGAAGTAGCTCAGATATACTTTTACCGATAGTTCTAATCTTCGTTGTGTAATCTATTGTAATTGCAATAAATTTCACCACAAAGGTAGATTGCAATCAATTTGGAGCATGGTCATTTTCTGGGCGATATATTTTTCAACTATTACTCTTATATCCCTTGTAAATCTGGTAGAATAAGCATGAGAAACAAAACTATGACAATCACATCACCATTCAAACTAATATTAATCATTGTTTTTTTTTTCTTTTCAATTAAACTAATTTTTGACTCTACTACAGCCAGCAGGTTGCTTGCAAATGACTTTACTAGAGCTAACCGGCTACTTGCAAGTGACTCTACTAAAGCCAACAGTCTACTGGCAATTAATTAAATTGGCAACTGAGATGGAGTGCCCAAATTCGAGAATAAACTGTAGCAAATGCTACTTGCTAAGCGCGTCCAAAAAGTTTCGCCACGGGCAATCAAGGCTGCTCGAAATTCACTGTCCAGTACACTGAGATCGAGTGGCTTGATTGCGCCGCGAGAGCATTGTTAATACTTCTGCCTCGCATTTTCCCTTGCCGAAATTGTTGGCCATCTAGTGGCGTTTGGCGAACCACTAAGTTACGTGTAGTGTGAACGATTGACTTCGTATAGTACACAGTAATAAATGTATTACGCATGTTATTTTGGTTAAATTTATTCTTGACATAGTTTTACTATCCTTATTAAGTCAGTTCCTTACAAGGCAAATTCGTTCAATTATTCAAATATTCATAATATAATTCACATTGTCATTTTCAATGGACTTACGTTCATCGCATAGAGTTCAAAACTGTGAACGAAGACATAATCATTTTCAAGGTCTGAAAACCCATCTTGTTTAATGTCATTATATTCCCATCTTTCCTTCTAAAATCTTAAAATGTCCTCTTACTTTTCCAAAACTTTCCATGGACATTATGTAAAATTTGCCCGCCGTCAAATGACACGGTATTAAGCTTCTCATCATGATTGGTAGCAGCATCAGTTGCAATTGGTGCGGCAGGCAATACCATCGATTTTGATAACTAGAAATTAAAATGAAAAAATATTTAGCTGTGAAAACTGAATCGATGGATGATGTTCAATGAAGTAACGATTCAAATAATGAATTTGTATTCATTCTGACGCTGATATGAAGATTTTTTCGCTCTGTACTTCCAGTGCATGTCCCAACCAGCTAATCCAAAATAGATGACAGAAGCCGCCTGCGCTGATAAATGCCATCCTAATCATCTCGCTTGGTTGAGATCTTTTAATGATAGCCTAAAATGATATCCACAGATGATGACTTTAAATCTTTGAACAATGTGAACCATTCTGGTTGATGATCAGGCCTACTCACTGTCATTCCCGTGAGTACTATTGTCAAGATATTCACTCCGACAATAATTAATAGAGCGATATTATAGGATGATTCCAAATTCTTCACAAACCTATGAGGAGAAAAAATATACTTGAATCACGTATAGATATACGCATAGATTTGAGCATATGCTTAAAATAACTATAATAATCAGGGATCTAGAATGAAACTGTCAAACGGAACAAAAATATCGGTTTCGTATGTTGTTCTGTGAAACGTGAGTAACGAAACAAAATGTGGAGCGTAAATCTTGGAATACTACAGCGTGGAATGGAAGTCGGAATGAAA